CCCCCCCGCCGCCCCCGCTCCCTCTCAGCGCCGCGCAGATCAAGCAGGAGCCGTCGGAGGAGTACGAACCCCCCGAGAGCCCCGTGCCGCCTGCTCGCAGCCCCTCGCCGCCCCCCAAGGTGGTGGACGTGCCGAGCCACGCCAGCCAGTCAGCCAGGTGAGGGGTGGCTGTGGGGGGATTTCGGGGGGTGTCCCCAGGCTGGGGAGGGACGTATGGGGCAGGGAAGGGGAGGTCACCCCGAGCGTGGGGGTGCAGCTGCACTCTTTTGCCTTTTCCATGATGCTCTTTCCTTTCCCACAGTGTCCCTGTCCCTGTCCCCGTCCCCATCCCGGCCCTCCAGCCAGCCAGTCAGCCAGGTGAGGGGTGGCTGTGGGGGGATTTCGGGGGGTGTCCCCAGGCTGGGGAGGGACGTATGGGGCAGGGAAGGGGAGGTCACCCCGAGCGTGGGGGTGCAGCTGCACTCTTTTGCCTTTTCCATGATGCTCTTTCCTTTCCCACAGTGTCCCTGTCCCTGTCCCCGTCCCCATCCCGGCCCTCCAGCCCCTTCTGCGCTGACAGGCTTCACCTCTCGCCCCCAGATTCAACAAACACCTGGACCGCGGCTTCAACTCCTGCTCCCGCACGGACCTGTACTTCGTGCCCCTGGACGGCTCCAAGCTGGCCAAGAAAAGGGCAGACTTGGTGGAGAAAGTGCGGCGAGAGGCTGAGCAGAAGGCGCGGGAAGAGAAGGAGCGGGAACGGGAACGGGAGCGGGAGAAGGAGCGGGAGAAGGAGCGGGAGATGGAGAGGAGCGTGGTAGGTCTGGGGGTCCCAGTGCCACAGCGCAGCCAGGGCAGATGCTTGAGGACCCCTTCAACCGCGCTCTGCTGGGACTCTGATGCTGGTCTCTCTGCTCTCTTGCAGAAGATGGCCCAGGAGGGCCGGCCAGTTGAGTGCTCGTCCCTCGGGCCGGTTCCCCACCGCCCCTCCTTCGAGCAGGGCAGTGCTGTAGCGACTGTTCCCCCGTACCTGGGCCCCGACACCCCAGCTCTGCGCACCCTCAGCGAATACGCACGGCCCCACGTCATGTCCCCCAGCAACCGCAACCACCCTTTCTATGTGCCGCTGGGTGCGGTTGACCCGGGCTTGCTGGGGTACAACGTGCCGGCCATCTACAGCAGTGATCCAGCAACGCGGGAGCGAGAGCTGAGGGAGCGGGAAGCCCGCGAACGAGATCTGAGGGACCGGGACCTGCGTGAACGTCTCAAGCCCGGCTTTGAAGTCAAGCCAGCCGAGTTGGAGCAGCTCCACGCTGTGCCAGCTGCTGCCATGGATCCATTCCCACGCCACGGCGGGCTGAGTCTGCAGACGGCCCCCGGCCTTCATCCCGCTTTTCCCTTCCACCCAGGGCTGGGCCACTTGGAGCGGGAGAGGCTGGCGCTGGCAGCCGGCCCGACCCTTCGTCCCGACATGTCCTACGCCGAGCGCTTGGCAGCTGAGCGCCAGCACGCCGAGCGGGTGGCTGCTCTCAGCAATGACCCTCTGGCCCGGCTGCAGATGCTCAATGTGACACCTCACCATCATCAGCATTCCCACATCCACTCCCACCTCCACCTCCACCAGCAGGATGCCATACATGCAGGTAAGGACCCCGTGGTGGTGGTGCCCTGCACGAAGCCCTGCTCTCCCCTCCTTGCGCTCCCTCCTTCTGGCCCTGGGGAAGCCCAAAAGCTGCCGAGACTGGACTTCGGGTCCCCAGAGCCACCTCTTCAGCCAGAAGAGGTCAACATCATGGTCATTGAGCCTTGCCCTCGCTCCCGCCCCACCAAAGACGCTGACGTCTGTTGCAAGTATCAGCAACAGCAACGTCTGTGAGTTTGCTGCTTAGTGGCGAGCAGAGTTGTTTGCACCTTTAGTTTGGGATTTCTGGGGATGCAACAGGAGTGCTGGGGTCCCGCCGGCTACCAGGGTGGTGGTGTGTGGACCTCATCCCTCTCGCTGTGGTCCACAGAGGGAGCGGGAGCCCTGCTAACACCAGTTTTGACAGTATCCTTAGGACTAATGAAGTGCTGGTTCTCTAGTTTGCTCCTACGGCTCTTGCTGCAGGTGGTGGGATGGGACGGGAGAGAAGATGGGTTAATTTTAAGGAACTGGAGGCTGCTGTCCTTCAGAATCGGGTGGTGGTCCCTTCCATCTCCACATCCTACAGGAAAGCAAAGTAAAAAGAAGCGTAGGGATGAAAATCTCAGGGAAGCAAAGCCCAAACTACAGTACGATAGGAAAAAGTGCTGTCCCCGCTCAGGTGAGCGGTCGGTGGGATCTGGTGGCAGTCACAAGCAGCCACAACAACTCAGAGGTGGCGTCAGGTACAAGTGAACGTCCATTCCCCACGCTCTGGGGGAACGTCCATTCCCCACCTCCAGCCAGCACTCTGGCAGTGAGTCTGAAACACTGGAAAGAGCAGTTTTCATATAAACAGTACCTTGCATTTCAGCCTTAGGTAGTACTTGCAAACTCGAGTGCCTGGCACTGAGCGCCTGTGCTGGATGAGACCTGGCAATGGAAGCACCCAATAGGAGTACGCACAGCCAGGGTGGCAGATAGGCACGATACTGGCTACAGGCGCGATTGCAGAGCCGGTCCGTGCAGAACCGACTTTGAGGAGCAGTACTTCTCCCTGAGGAGTGTAGGGACAGAGCTACGCCAGACTGGTTCACGCGAAAGTCACTGCAGGCAAAAAGAGCAAGACTCGGAAGGACGTGGTACTGCGTTGTCTAGCCTTGAAATCATCCCATCCCTAACACACCGACCCTCTCCGCGTCTGTTGCGTTGTGCCTTGCGCCGTTCTCCGCGTTACCTCTTACAAAGCACGGGACAATTATCTTGCGGTATCTTTTTCTTCCCAGCCTCGGCCTCTGTTCACCCTCTTATCGATCCGCTCGCCTCGGGATCGCACCTCACCCGGATACCATACCCAGCTGGAACCATCCCCAACCCTCTCCTGCCTCACCCTCTACATGAGAACGAAGTGCTGCGCCACCAGCTTTTCGGTAAGGGCGCTCGCAGGGACTTCTGGTCTCCTCTAAAGAGCATCAGCAGAGCTCCAAGGGGCAGGGCGGTGACGAGGGGGGACCGGACCAAACTGAGGTCTGTTAAACACAGCTCTGGCGTGGCGTAGGAGAGGCCTACGCTATCGGGGGATGAGCAAGGGCAGGGCTGGGAAAGAAGTGCGGTAGAGCCTTGACTGAGCTTGGGGGCCATGGGGGAGGACGGAGCCGTTACGTTCACTTGTTTATTCTCTGTTTCGTCTTTGGCCGCAGCTGCACCCTACAGGGACCTGCCGGGCTCTCTCTCCGCGCCCATGTCGGCAGCACATCAGCTCCAGGCCATGCACGCGCAGTCAGCTGAGCTGCAGCGCCTGGCGCTGGAACAGCAGCAGTGGCTTCACGCCCATCACCCTCTGCACGGCGTGCCGCTCCCGACGCAGGAGGATTACTACAGGTGCACGGAGCCGCTCTCTCCGCGCCGCGGGGGCGAGCAGACCACTCTGTCCTCACAAATACGCCTCCAGGCCCGGCCTGGGGGTGGCAGAGACGGTGGGGATGGGGAAGCGTTGCCCCTAAAACGGGCGACTCGGCCCTGGGAGCGGGGATGCCGTGCCACTGGGGCGCAGCTGTGGGGTGGCCACCGGGAAGGTCATTCTTGGCAAGTGGCTGTTCGGTGGCTAATCTCCCGTGGGGGTCTCAGCTCCTCTCCTCTGGGGGAAGAGGGTAAACTTGCACGTGTCACACATGCCAATACAGTTACGACTAACCGATAGCCCTGCCAAAATACCAACCGTGCGCAAGGGCCGGAGGCTTTTGCCAAGACGAGGCTTTCACAAGCGCGTGGGGAAGCACGTTGGGAAGGAGAGAGGTGCGATGTCGTACCTTTTCCACAGCATCTCCTACTTCAAGGATTTGCAAAACTTTCCCAGCCAGCTAGACTAACAAAAGATGAAATTGCCTTTTTCTCTCACAAAATCACCTTGTTCCTCTTCTTTATCCTAGCCACCTGAAGAAAGAAAGCGACAAACCCCTTTAAATGGACTCCTACTGTCAACGTGACATCATCATGTCTTTCTCTCAAGAGGAGCAATCAATCAACCAAATCCTGGGGGAGGGGAAGCTGCAGAGTGACACATCCTGATCCCACCACGCAGGAGAGCGCAGGAGAAGACGGGACAAAAAGTGCAGGGTGGCATCCTGGGAGCAGAAAGCGGAGGAGAGAAAATGGGGAGGGACTGAAACGCCACTAACGGACACGAAACGATCGGTACGTGATTTCGGCGGAGCTCTGAAGAAACCCAAATCAGCATGGCAGAGCTCAAAAAGACAAAAGACTGATGTGAATTCAGGATGGCAGCGGCTCCATCCTTTGTTTGGGGGGGGGGAACGGTTGCATTGAAGAAAAAGTGCAGAGCGTTACGGGACTGATCGTACAGGATGCTGCTGCCTTTTTTGCTTCTGCGAGGAGGAGGTGCGGCCAAGAAGTAACTCAAAATTCCAACAGAGCCTTTTTTTCAAGATGCCTCCTCGCCCCCCACCCCCCCCTTTAGGTGTAAGATACTGCTTAGCGCTACGGAAAAGCAACGTGGAACTTTTTCAGATTAGCCGGAGTGGCTTCCCGTTCTCCGCCATCCCTTTGGATGCAACGGAAGCGTGACGGGACCCCTTCAAAAAAGCGGCCGCTCCTGCCTGCAGAAGGACGGGTCCCAGCCGTCGGGGTGCAAAGCACCGGCAAGACTGGTTTGCGAGACGGTGGCCGTCCTTTCCCCATGGCCGAGACGGGGAACGGGGCACGGCCAGGAGGTGCCAAGCGCCGGGAGACCCTACGCAAGGCCGCCATCGCCACCGTCGCCCCTTTGAGCCCCGCGGGGAGAGCCGATGCGGCCCAGCGTCCTGCGTCCCGCCGACTGTCTTCAAGCTGGCAGCTGCCCCTTTCCCCTCGCCCCTTCCAATCGATGTACTTTTAACTCATGCACATCCTATTAGACGTGGCAGTTTTATGTAGCAACTTGTGACTCCCTTGCCCCCCCCACCCCACCCCGCGTGCGTGTCCGATTTCACGGCTGTATCTCTCGATTGGTCCC